TTTCGCCCGGACGGTGCAGGGAGACCACCTTCGTGGCAGCAGGGCTTCTGGGCCCTCAGGCAGCGGGTACCGGGCTCAGCTCCGGCCACGGGGACGTGAGGGCAGTTTGGTCCCAAGACCCGGCGCGTGTCCGGCATTAGAGGGCGCTTGAAGTTACTCATGAAAACGTTGTTGATGGTGGGAAAAAACTTGAAACCACTCATGTGTCCAAAAATTTGGGGCTGGTTAAATCAACGTGATACATCCATGCGTACCGCGGCTCAAGACAGCTGTTAAAACACAAGGTCCTAGCCCGGCTCGGTGGCTCAGCCTGTCATCCCGCGCCTTTGGGAGGCTGAGGCGAGTGGATGGCCCGAGCCCGCGGGTTCGAGACCCGCCTGGGCAGCGAGGCCTCATCTCTACAATAAATCAAAAAATCAGCCGGGCGTGGTAGTGCATGCCTGTAATTCGGCTACTCGGAAGGCTGAGGCGGCAGGATCGCCGGAGCCCAGCAGGCGAGGTTGTGGTGGCCGGGAGCGGCCACTGCACTCCAGTCTGGGCGACAGAGTGAGACTCCAACTCAAAAAAAAGACAACAACAACAAAAAAACACAAGGTCTTTACGGATAAAAGGACTCAAGATAAAGCTGATAAATGGAGGAGAGCAAGGTGCAAACCAGAACGGTGAGTCTGCAGTCATTGCTAAGGACACAAGCCACCTGACACAAATGTCCTGGAGGACATACTGATGCACCCCCTCACCCCGCGGCAATCTTTGTCTACAATTCATTTCCTAGCAGGGTGCCCTACAGGAAGCGGCACCCAGCAGGACAGGGGCCACTCGGTGGCCTGTGCCACAGAACTAGCAGGCAGACCTAGTGCCTCCCCCCCACAGAGACAAACGTAAACTGAGAAAAGAAATATACTGTTTATTACTCATTTGAGATGTCACATGCACTTTTAAAAATTAAAACTCTTTATTTAAACATCTTAATAGCATCTTATCAATTTGGTGGCAGCAAAAGAAGCACTACCAAAGACAAATATTTTGAAAAGCATTTACAAAAATACATTGCACAAAGTCCTATCTTGCATCTTTAAAAATAAATATTCAAAATATTTCCACCCCAACTCCCAAATTTAGCTTTATATAGGAAATTTTCAATTTACATACATAACCTGCAATATATGAAACATCTGTACATACTTTATCCACCTTAACTGCATAGTTCCAATTCTAAGGAGAGTGAAAAAAAAGCTACTTTCTATAGTTTTATATATTTGAGGACTGTTGTGCAATATACATAAAACTCTTCAGAAAACCAGTCAGCACCATCGTTTTATCTTTTTCTGAAAATACGTTTATGATATACCAAAAACTGTCTTAACCCAATAAAACTTAAATAATTCTTAAGGTAAAACATCTGTTAACAGTTTAAGTGCCTTGCAGATATCTCATTTATAAAGGCTTCTCAGTAAAATAGTCTAAATATTAAATATTATAACCAGAATGAGTCTCAGAAGAATCATGTGAGAATGGTGACAGTCGTGACAGAAGGCAAATCCCAACCATAGCTAATCGGAGTGCTGCTGTGGGAAGAACAACGGCCCTGAGAGGAGAGGGGGTCGTGAACTTGCCACATGGATCACACTTTTGAGAACTGTCAGTGGAATAAAATACAGCCTCTGAAAGACTCAGAGCATCTTAGTGTTCCCTTTCAGCAAAGCTCAAAACATGACCTGAAAACACCCAAGATGTGCCTTCTTGGTTCCTACTCATAACATGGCTCCTGGTGGGAAAAGCCTCACTGAGATCCAAGAACTCTATTTGTGTGTGTGTTTATATCCAAACCAGCCCCTTTGAAATAAGTGTCACTTCAGCCTACAATGAGAACAAAACACTCTCCACCAACACTAGTACGAGTTCTGACTGAAAATCTCTGAAGTAAGAGCAAACTAAGCAGAAAAACACATTTAGTCATTTCCCCACCTGAAGACTTACAACCTAAGTGGTGTTGAATGAAGAAAAATCCCACCCTTAAGGAAAGGAGTTTAGAATTCTGAAAACTTGGTGACACTGTTTTTCCCTGAAAGAAACGTGTGCTGGATTAACCAGATGAAATATATCTGCCCTCCAGAGGTCCTACAGAAGAACCAG